AGGTTTTTTTATATATTTGTCTTTTTTTTTTTTGTGGGTATAATCTGAGTCATCTAAATATAAATCAAATTTATAATTTAACTTATTAATTGATAGTTTTCTTTTACTTGATTCTTCTTGAAGGTCTGATGATTCTGTTGATATGCTGGTCTTTCGATCTTGATTTGGTAATCATTTGAATATAAGATTTCTTTCTTTTTTTGTTTTTTTATTCTGTAATTTTTGTAATATTACCAGAAATGATATTTTAACTAAAAGAATTTCATTTTTATGTTCTAGAGGATTTTCTTTTAAAATTTTTCTTTTAATTGCTTTATATTTATCTGTATTTTCTTGATATATTCTTTTAGTATTGTAAATTTTTAAATAATACAGTTCAATTGGTCTAACAATATATTTGTTTTTGTCAATTGTATAATGTTTTTTCTAATAATAAATACTATCTAATTCTTCAAGTCTACTATACTTATTTCTTTTGCTTTTTCTTCTGTAATATCATGATTAAATTTGATTTCAAAGTTGAAATTAAAAAAGTCTTTAGGTGAACCCTTATGAAAGATTATTTGAATTTTATAACAAAAATATTCTTCTCAACATGGTTTTTCATTATTTTTTCTGAATTTCTTGAATTCTACAATATAATCTAATTGATTTACAAATGAACTAAATAATTTTGTATTATTAAATTTTTGTTCTGATATAGGTTTTAATTTTTTATCTTCACAAAAATCATAAATAAATCTAATATTTGTATTTGCAGAAAATCTAATTACTTTGGGACAAAAATTTTCATTTTCATGATAATTTTTTAGATCAAGAAGATTTAAAAGTTCTAAATATTTAATCTGACCTTTGAATTCATTAATCAAAACTTTTTCATATAAAGTTAAAATCTTGCCAAAATCTACTATCAGCACTTTTACATTCATATGTATTTGGAAAAAGTAATGAAAACAAATAATCTTTTCTAACTCAACTTTTGTCACTATGAAAAAATATTGTTGCAGGCTTCTAACACTGTTTGTTTTTTTTTCAATATTTTTTTATAGCTTGATATAAAGTATAAATATGATTTGAATTATTTTCTATCTATTTAGAATTATTTTGTGTATTTTCTATAATAATCTTATCACCAGATTTATTTTCAACAAATAAATCATCCATTATTTTTTCAGATGAGTTTTCTTTAATATATTGATTATTTTTGTTAAGGTTGTTTGGTTTTTTTTATAATTTTCTAGTATATAATGGAATGGTCTAGATTTAGAATCATATCTTGCAAAAGTATATTGAGAGCAATATTCAGATATATATTTGCAAGATTATTTAAATCTTTGTAACTATATTGATATATTGTAAGTAAAATTTTATTTTCTAAATTTTCTGAATCTACTATTTCAAAAACAGTACCTTTAATCTTGCTTTTTAAATCATTTCTATCAACTGGTTTTCGATTGTATTTATCATATTTGTTGTAGTTTTTTTGCAATATACAACTGAATTTTTAATACTTTTTATAGAATCATAATGCTATTTTTGTAGTACATTATTAGTTTGTAATTTTTCATAAATATTAAACAATCTTGCTTGATTTACTAAAGTAAAAACTGCTTGAATATAGCAATCTTGTTCTTGTTTTGTATTATGATTCTTTTCATATTAGTAAACAAATTTTTTTTAT